CCCATATAAGGGTACCTCCCGATATTCGGTATTTTGATGATTTTTGCGACATTATTCACCGGCATTGTTTTAAATTCGGCATTTGAATTTTGATGATTTTAGCGACATTATTTACCGGGATTGTTTCAAATTTCGCATGTGAAGTTCTTAATGCATACTTCAGCCCATGCCAGAAAATTGTTTGTGCAGGTCCACGTCTTCGTATAGCCCCCATATAACGGTACCCCCTATATTCGGTGTTTTGATTGTTTTAGCTACATTATAAACAGATTTTTCTTCAAGTTTCGCATTTAAATATTGTAATAACTTATGACAAAAGTTGCCTATGCAGGTCCACGTCGTCGTATAGGCATTCGGTATTTTTAAGATTTTAACAGAATTTTTAACGGATTTTATTTTTATACCCTCCACCATACTATGTAGGGTATATTAATTTTGTCATTCCGTTTGTAACTCCTCGAAATACTCATGTCAAAGTATATATATTCTTGATCAGCGTAAAATTCTAAGACGATTTAGCCATGTCCGTCTGTCTGTCTGTGTGTCAGTGTGTCTGTCTGTTGTAATCACGCTATCGTAAATGGGCCATGTAGGTCCAAGTTATCATATAGCCCCCATATAACCGTACCTCCCGATATTCAGTTATCTGATGATTTTAGCGACATTATTCCCCGGAATTGTTTCAAATTTGGCATTTGAAGTTCGTAATGAATACTATAGCCTAAGACAGAAAATTATCTGTGCAGGTCCACGTTTTCGTGTAGCCCCCATATAACGGTACCCCCGATATTCTGTATTTTGATGATTTTAGCGATATTGTTTACCGGAATCGTTTCAAATTTGGTACTTAAAGTTCGTAATGGATTCGTAATACTAAGTCAAAAAATGAGCCATGTAGGTCCACGTCCTCATATAGCCCCCATATACCATGCCCCCCGATATACGGTATTTTGATGATTTTAGCGACATTATTTAGCGAAATCGTTTCAAATTTGGTATTTGAAGTTCGTAATAGATACTGCAGCATAAAACAGAAAATGGGCCATATAGGTCCAAGTCTTCATATAGCCCCCATATACCGTACCCCCCGATATTCGGTATGTTGATGATTTTAGCGACATTAATTACCGGGATTGTTTCAAATTTCGCATGTGAAGTTCGTAATGGATACTTCAGTCCATGCCAGAAAATTGTCTGTGCAGGTCCACGTCTTCGTATAGCCCCCATATAACGGTACGAACATATTCGGTATTTTAATGATTTTAGCTACATTATAAACAGATTATTCTTCAAGTTTCGCATTTAAATATTATAATAACTTATCACAAAAGCTGCCTATGCAGGCCCATGTCGTCGTATATGCATTCGGCATTCTTAAGATATTAACAGAATTTTTAACGGAATTTATTTTTTGGAAATTGCCAAATTTGTACCAAATGGTGGAGGGTATTAAAAGTTCGGCCCGGCCGAACATACAGCTTTCTTACTTGTTTTCACTAATTTGTCTAAAAATTGGTATTTGTTGGTCATAATGGGTTCCAGCTCCGGTGGCGAAACATTGCATGTATGGGTCTATGATTTGGTATAGCCCACATATAACGGTACCTCCCGATTCGGCATTTTAATGGTTTTTACCACATTTCTTCTAATGTTTCCTTTATCCTAAGGTGGAGGGTATTTAAAGTTTGGCCCTGCCGATCTTTATGTTTTTTTACTTGTTTCTTTTAAATTGATCGTCACAGTTCAATAATATTCTATTTGTCCATTTATTCTAAATGTGTATTTCATGTATTTTTTGTTTCATTACTATTCATCGAATTTCACTTTTAATTTTAAACTTCGTTCCTTTTATTTTCTTTATTTCTTGTCAATATTAATTTTATACCCTCCACCATACTATGGAGGGTATATTAATTTTGTCATTCCGTTTGTAACTCCTCGAAATACTCATGTCAGACCCAACAAAGTATATATATTCTTGATCAGCGTAAAATTCTAAGACGATTTAGCCATGTCCGTCTGTCTGTCTGTGTGTCTGTCTGTCCGTCTGTTTGTCTGTCCGTCTGTCTGTTGTAATCACGCTATCTTTCGAACAAATTGAGATAGAAGGCTAAAATTTTGCACACATGTATATTTTGCCAATAGGCAGGTTAAGTTCGTAAATGGGTCATGTAGGTCCAAGAAATCATATAGCCCCCATATAAGGGTACCTCCCGATATTCGGTATTTTGATGATTTTTGCGACATTATTCACCGGCATTGTTTTAAATTCGGCATTTGAATTTTGATGATTTTAGCGACATTATTTACCGGGATTGTTTCAAATTTCGCATGTGAAGTTCTTAATGGATACTTCAGCTCATGCCAGAAAATTGTTTGTGCAGGTCCACGTCTTCGTATAGCCCCCATATAACGGTACCCCCTATATTCGGTGTTTTGATTGTTTTAGCTACATTATAAACAGATTTTTCTTCAAGTTTCGCATTTAAATATTGTAATAACTTATGACAAAAGTTGCCTATGCAGGTCCACGTCGTCGTATAGGCATTCGGTATTTTTAAGATTTTAACAGAATTTTTAACGGATTTTATTTTTATACCCTCCACCATACTATAGGGGGTATATTAATTTTTTCATTCCTTTTGTAACTCCTCGAAATACTCATGTCAGACCCAACAAAGTATATATATTCTTGATCAGCGTAAAATTCTAAGGCGATTAAAGATTCAGCCATGTCCGTCTGTCTGTCTGTGTGTCTGTCTGTCTGTCTGTTGTAATCACGCTATCTTTCGAACAAATTGAGATAGAAGGCTAAAATTTTGCACACATGTATATTTTGCCAGTAGGCAGGTTAAGTTCGTAAATGGGCCATGTAGGTCCAAGAAATCATATAGCCCCATTATAACGGTACCTCCCGATATTCGGTATTTTGATGATTCTTGCGACAGTATTCAACGGAATTGTTTCAAATTTGGCATTTGAAGTTCGTAATGGATACTACAGCCTAAGACAGAAAATAATCTATGTAGGTCCACGTTTTAGTATAGCCCCTATGTAATGGTACCCCCCGATATTCGGTATTTTAATGATTTTAGCTACATTATAAACAGTTTTTTCTTCAAGTTTCGCATTTAAATATTGTAATAACTTACGACAGAAGTTGCCCATGCAGTCCCACGTCGTCGTATAAGCATTCGGCATTCTTAAGATATTAACAGAATTTTTAACGGATTTTATTTTTTGGAAATTGCCAAATTTGTACCAAATGGTGGAGGGTATTAAAAGTTCGGCCCGGCGAACTTACAGCTTTTTTACTTGTTTTCACTAATTTGTCTAAAAATTTGTATTTGTTGGTCATAATGGGTTCCAGCTCCGGTGGCGAAACATTGCATGTATGGGTCCATGATTTGGTATAGCCCACATATAATGGTACCTCCCGATATTCGGCATTTTAATGGTTTTTACCACATTTCTTCCAATGTTTCCTTTATCCTAAGGTGGAGGGTATTTAAAGTTTGGCCCTGCTGAACTTTATGTTTTTTTACGTGTTTCTTTTAATTGATCGTCACAGTTCAATAATATTCTATTTGTCCATTTATTCTAAATGTGTATTTCATGTATTTTTTGTTTCATTACTATTCATCAAATTTCACTTTTAATTTTAAACTTCGTTCCTTTTATTTTCTTTATTTCTAGTCAATATTATTTTTATATACTCCACCATACTATGGAGGGTATATTAATTTTGTCATTCCGTTTGTAACTCCTCGAAATACTCATGTCAGACCCAACAAAGTATATATATTCTTGATCAGCGTAAAATTCTAAGACGATTTAGCCATGTACGTCTGTCTGTCGGTCTGTTGTAATCACGCTATCGTAAATGGTATTCTGATGATTTTAGCGACATTATTCCCCGGAATTGTTTCACATTTAGCATTTGAAGTTCGTTATGAATACTACAGCCTAAGACAGAAAATTATCTGTGCAGGTCCACGTCTTCGTGTAGCCCCCATATAACGGCTCCCCCCGATATTCGGTATTTTGGTGATATTAGCGACATTGTTTACCGGAATCGTTTCAAATTTGGTATTTGAAGTTCGTAATGGATTCGTAATCCTAAGTCAAAAAATGAGCCATGTAGGTCCACGTCCTCATATAGCCCCCATATAACGGTAGCCCCAGATATTCGGTATTTTGATGATTTTAGCGACATTATTTAGCGAAATCGTTCCAAATTTGGTATTTGAAGTTCGTAATAGATACTGCAGCATAAAACAGAAAATGGGTCATATAGGTCCAAGTCTTCATATAGCCCCCATATACCTTAAGATATTAACAAAATTGTTAACGGATTTTATTTTTTGGAAATTGCCAAATCTGTACCAAATGGTGGAGGGTATTAAAAGTTCGGCCCGGTCGAACTTACAGCGTTTTTACTTGTTTTTCTTCTTCTTTTAAAAATTATTTCAATTTACTTATTTCCAGTTTATTTTTCATTGCTTTTCATTTAATTTAATTTTATTTTTTTTTTTATTTTATAACTCGATTTTTTATTTTCTTATTAATTATCAACTCAAATTATTTCATTTCCTTTTTTTTTTCAAAATTTATTTCAATTTATTTATATCCGCTTATTTAAAAGTTGATTGTCATTTATATCATTTTCATTTATTTCTAACACTAAATTCGAGTTCGCTTACCAAGGCTGCTGGCTATAGAAGGCCTCCCTTTTGCTACGATGCTCGAATTTTTTCATTGAATTTTTTTATTTGAGTATACAAATCCAGATCTTTTTATTGTGGTGTCTTATCCTTTACAGATTAAGAGGGTGCCCCACGTGGGCGCTACTTAAACAATTATTTAATAAATTTTATTTTTTTAAAAGACCGGAGCGGTTGTTACACCTCTTGTTTTTTATGAAATAAAATTTGTAACTGATTAACTTAACTAACTTAACCCTAAATGTCACCTAAAGAATTATTATTATATATGCTTACTTTGTATTTCCCACGATAACGCCACTAATATTTGATGATTGTGGACAAGTGTTATTATTTCAGGTTGCACGTGTTATGTTGGTTTGCTCGTGTTGTAACTAGATCTGCTGTTATTGCTTTGGGTTGACTTGCTCGTGTTGTAAATGAATATGTTGTGAGAACAATAACTAAACATTTATGTTGTTAACTTATATATGAAGGGCCCACAGCTATACCGAACTAAGTCATAAAAACATAATTCGAAGATATTTAGAGGTAAAGTAAATGCACTGCCATTAATTTATGGAAGGAATATTTTAGTCTACCAAAAGAAAATATAAAAGTCTATATTCAAAATTAACTAATGATATCAATTTAAAATAAGAATTATTTAAATATATTACTAAAAAAATATTCAAAAACAAAAAAATCTACTTTGGTTCATTATTGCTCTGAATAAAATTTGAAGGTTTCACAGCTAAAGAGAACCAAGTCAAAACATAAAATAAAGTGTTCGTTATATGACTAAATATAGTTGACTTTAGCGATTAATTTCCCACTAGTTTTCGGAGTTTTATTTTGAGTCATGTCTTGGTTTAGCGGCTGGTAGCGGCGGGTGCTTCTGTTTTAATTGACAACCATTGTGATTTTTAGGAAAATAAAATAAATTAATTTTTTTTAAAAAATAAATTAATGTTAACAAGGGCAAAGGAAAACTTAAGGTTTACACTATGGTAGAAATAAGAATGTAAATTCATCCATCATATGTTTACATGTTTATACCCTCCACCATAAAAACATAGTTATATATATATATATATATATATATATATATATATATATATATATATATATATATATATATATATATATATATATATATATATACATATATATATATATATATATATATATATATTTATATATTTATATATATATATATATATATATATATATATATAGTCAGCGGTTACTATAATAAATTTAATGTTTATTTAATGTCTTCTTCGATTAAGTTATTTAGTTTGACAAGTAAACTCGAATCAATCGAACGAACATTCATTAATTGGCGCCCAACAAGGGAAAACAAATAAATTAAAAAATTCTTTTTGATGCCATCTCTAGATACGGTGAAGCCAAGATATTCAACACTTTCCTTAAAAAAGTGAGATTTTTCACGAGAAACTCTCATGTTGGTTTCAAGCAATCTAGCCAAGACCCACAAAATGTGTCTTCCTCGTTTTCGGAAAAAGTTATAACATCGTCCATATAAACATAACATGTCTTTCCGATTTGTTCTCTCAAACATCATCAATGGCTCTTTGAAAAATGCTAGGAGCATTTTTTAGGCCAAAAGGAAGTCTACAAAATTCATATTTCCCATTTGCCACCGAAAATGAAGTTTTCTCTCTATCTTGTTCTGAGAGAGTAATCTGATGAAATCCTGATTTGAGGTCGAGAGTTGTAAAGTACCTTGCTTTGCCAAGGTTTGCTAGTATTGCTCTCACCTCTGGAATCGTATATTTATCATCGACTGTTATACTATTCAGTTTTCTGAAATCAATGACGAGGCGATTTTTAATCTTTCCTTGCTCATCTTTTCCATTCTTATCAACAACCCAGATAGGGCTATTGTATGGGGAACTAGAAGGCCTTATCATTCCATTTTTTAACAATTCCTTTATTTCAGAATTTACAAATTCCCCCACACCCATTGGGTATGGATAGAGCTTGGAATACGTGAGATCAGTCGTTGTAGTACGAATTGTGGCCACGATATTCGTATTGTATGGAAGTGCCTCGTCGGGGTTTGCAAAAACTCCCGACAAATTTTGAATCATTTCCTTAAATTTCTTCGATATCCCTTGAGGTACCTGAATGTCCTCAATTTTGTGAAATTTACATTTGCACATCTTAGGAATTGAAGTTTTTCTTTTCCGGAATTAGGTTTTATTTCTTTATTGTTAAAGTCCAGTGTAGCACTAGTCTGCGTGAGCAGATCCAGGCCAATTATCCCGTCAAATGTTAACAGTGATGGAAGAATAAAGAAAATGCTATTGGTGTCGAATACGTTACGAACTAATTATCTCCGAGAACCACATGTTTTAAACCTTTTATAGGTTTAATGTAACTTTTTGAAGCTCCCGTGTCTATTAAGAGTTTTATTCTCTTCCCCGCTATAGTCCTTTCTATGAACGGTAGCAGGGGACTACTTCTAAAAAATGTATCTGATCAAATTCGTCCGCTTCATCAACATCAATGTCACTTGCTTCATTGTCTGAGTTTGATAAGATTGACTCTCTGGTGCTTCATCTTGCGCAGTAAATCTTGCTGTACCACTATTCGGTCTCTTTGATCTTCGACCACTTGGAGATGGAACGCCACTGTAAAGATTCCTATATTTTGTGGATTATCTAAAATGAGCTGAATCATCAACGTCCATAAGTTCAACTGGACTCTGTAAATAGGAGTTTTTGTTGTCAGACCTACGCCCTTTCGGAAATGAGGATTTTTCCTTACATAAGGTTCAGCTGAGGAAGATCCAGTTGTCGCTTGATAATTCCTTAAGCTTCCTTTATCGTCCCGAGATCTGGTAAAATTATACGCAAACAGATACCTCTGCCTATTAGATTTTACTTCCTGAGCTAATGCGGAAGGCAGATCAGTCGGCCGAGCCGAGAACAGTACATTACTTAATTCCTTCTTTGTACCTGATATGAATACTCGAGGTGCATCCATTCTATATTTTTCATTAAGTGAGGCGGCAATTGTTTTGTCGTAGGTCATCAATGTCTTGTTAGTCAATAAGGTAAGTTTCTTCTCAACTTCATCATAATATTCCAGACGTGTAAGATTTCCTTGCCGGAGGGTTGATAATTCTTGTTCAATGAGGTAAATCTGACGTTTTCCCGAGTATGTGAAATCGAGACGTGCAATAATTGCCTTGAAGTTAAGAAGTGTATTAAAGCATGACAAGATCATATCTGCTGGTCCCTTTTATTTTATTTCGTATGATAGCTACGGCCTGATAGTGCCTCGAGCTGCCATCATATTTCTCAAAAAGTTTGTAGGCTGTGTGAGCCGCCTGACGCCATGAAACGTAAGGTTCATGCTTGCCCTCGAAGTCCGGTAACGATTTTACAATGTCTAATGATTCCTCGCATTGTACTCCCGGTACAATAGATATTTCTTTATAAGTCTCAACGTCTGGTGTTGAAACTACGATATCACTAAACCTGTTTTCAATCAGTTTCAATTGTTTCTCAAAATTCTGTCTTTGGACAGCTAAAGCTGATTGAATGGCAGAGTCCACCAGGGTCCTTATTTGCTCTGCTGTCGACATTTTTACAGATTCCCTGACCACTGAAATGTTTTTTATACCTTCGATCAATAAGTCCACTTCTTTGTCCACAATACTCATTAATTGTCGAAAAAAAAAAGAAATCTTCAGTCACCTTCGCAAGCACACAATATAAACTGAAATTTACATTTAACTTATCACTCCACTTACAACGTAATATTTTAGATACATTTTATAGCTAAGTATTTGACTGGATTCGTTGAGAGGCTGGCAATTCAGTTGATAGACTTGCTGGTTCCCTTTGGTTCTTTTTCTCGCTGCCCAGGCTACTCCGAAGCTCTGGTGATTTTTTTCCTTTTGTTTGTCCTCTTATTTCGCTGCCCAGGCTATTTCGAAGCTCTGGTGCCTTGGTATATTTGTTTTAAATATTTGTAATTGTAATGCGACAAATTTTTTTGTTTTATTAAATATTTGTCGTTTTTGCGCTTTGCACTTTTAATTTTTTTGGTTTTGTTTGCAATTGTTACTTTGTCCCGTAAGATGACGAAAGTATTTTCTAGATTGTATATATTTTTTGTGCCATAAGGTTACAAAAATATAATGTTATTAGTCGGTTTGCAATTTTTACCTTGTCCCGTAAGATGTCAAAAGTACTCTTTGTTAACACACTTAGCACTTTGTTTTTTTATTTTTCCCGTAAGGCAACAAGAATTTTTTAATTCATTTGTTTTCCCTTGTTGGGCGCCAATTAATGAATGTTCGTTCGATTGATTCGAGTTTACTTGTCAACTAAATAACTTAATCGAAGAAGACATTAAATAAACATTAAATTTATTATAGTAACCGCTGACTATATATATATATATATATATATATATATATATATATATATATATATATAAATATATAAATATATATATATATATATATATATGTATATATATATATATATATATATATATATATATATATATATATATATATATATATATATATATATATATATAGTCAGCGGTTACTATAATAAATTTAATGTTTATTTAATGTCTTCTTCGATTAAGTTATTTAGTTTGACAAGTAAACTCGAATCAATCGAACGAACATTCATTAATTGGCGCCCAACAAGGGAAAACAAATGAATTAAAAATTCTTGTTGCCTTACGGGAAAAATAAAAAAACAAAGTGCTAAGTGTGTTAACAAAGAGTACTTTTGACATCTTACGGGACAAGGTAAAAATTGCAAACCGACTAATAACATTATATTTTTGTAACCTTATGGCACAAAAAATATATACAATCTAGAAAATACTTTCGTCATCTTACGGGACAAAGTAACAATTGCAAACAAAACCAAAAAAATTAAAAGTGCAAAGCGCAAAAACGACAAATATTTAATAAAACAAAAAAATTTGTCGCATTACAATTACAAATATTTAAAACAAATATACCAAGGCACCAGAGCTTCGAAATAGCCTGGGCAGCGAAATAAGAGGACAAACAAAAGGAAAAAAATCACCAGAGCTTCGGAGTAGCCTGGGCAGCGAGAAAAAGAACCAAAGGGAACCAGCAAGTCTATCAACTGAATTGCCAGCCTCTCAACGAATCCAGTCAAATACTTAGCTATAAAATGTATCTAAAATATTACGTTGTAAGTGGAGTGATAAGTTAAATGTAAATTTCAGTTTATATTGTGTGCTTGCGAAGGTGACTGAAGATTTCTTTTTTTTTCGACAATTAATGAGTATTGTGGACAAAGAAGTGGACTTATTGATCGAAGGTATAAAAAACATTTCAGTGGTCAGGGAATCTGTAAAAATGTCGACAGCAGAGCAAATAAGGACCCTGGTGGACTCTGCCATTCAATCAGCTTTAGCTGTCCAAAGACAGAATTTTGAGAAACAATTGAAACTGATTGAAAACAGGTTTAGTGATATCGTAG